ACAGCAGTTGTTATGTTGGCTAACATAGTAACTGAGTTATGCAGAATTGGAAGTTCCGACAACTGCAGCAGTGCTATTACTCAAAAGTCTTTAAACTATCACTTCATTGGCTGCAGTAAAACTCGAGCGTTCTGATACCTTCAATAATAGTGAGAATGTGCACTGTCTGGTTGCTGTTATGGAATGAGAAATCTACTCCAATAGCTTGGATTTTTTTTATGGCCCCTTTAACATAATGAAACATTGCCAAGGTGCTTCACAAAAATGTCCTGGAGCAAAGTTTGAAATTACACCTCTTAACTTATTCGAAGAGGTAGGATTCTTAAAGTAAGAAGAGAGATGAGATTTAAAGAGGTAATTTTGGAAGGGCTCGAACAACTAAAGGCATGATGGCCAAACGCCTAGCTTGCTCAAGAGGGTGGAATTTAAACAGATGCGGAAATCTTGGATGGAAAGATGTATTGGAGGAGATGACTGAGATGGGTGGCCATAAGGATGGATTTGAAATGTGGATAAAATTTTTAGAATCAAAGCATTTCTTAAACCAGGAGGCAGTGTAAATTAGCAAGAAAAGAGCAAATGGTGAAACAGAGCTCTGTTCCACTCTGTCATGAGAGATGCCCACGTTGGCCCTTGGCTTTGCTCTGATCTCCTTTGGGTAAGTTTTCTACCACAAATCTTTCTTGTAAGACCAGCCCACAGTGCTTACTACAATGGAGAGTATTAAGCAGTGAAAGATAAACCATTGATGAATCTTCAGCAGAAGAGGCACGTACTTGACTAACAAGTTGAAGAGTTAGAGGTTCCATTTCTTTCAAACTGATTAACTATTTTACACTGGGTAAGAGATGTAGGTTAACCTGACATCTCTTTGGAGATACCAAAGTTCCTTGTCAAATATCTATAGCCAAATGGTTAACAGACTGGAGCAACTATTACAGGTAGTTAGAAATGACTAGTTTGTCCCACGGATGTTCTTGTATATTTTGGTGGGCAGAGCTATACAAAGATGCCAGAGTTAACTCTTTCAGGCCAGCTACCTTCTACAACAGTATGTGTGCAGACAGAGTTGCAGAAGGTGGATTACCTTCCAGCAATAAATATGGTTTTGCTAATAGTTGGCCCAACCTCCCTTCTCTCCTATTTGCTTTCTCAGTCATGCCAAGGGAAAGCATTGTCTTCTACTACTTCCAGCTGTGACATTTTATTTTGTTTGTCATATTTCCATTTCCCTTACAATATTTTAAATTTCTCAGTGGAGCCAGGTGGTTAAGTGAGTTAGTCAGTACTGCAGAATTTATTGGATACTTGGAAAGAAAGCACCTGGATAATTCTTTCTCTGGTAAGATAAAGCCATGGAATTTTGCAATGAACAAGGAAACCACTTTGCTAATCCTGACTATTTCATTTCTATTTTATGCTTCGGACTGCACTCTAATTAATGGAGTGTAAATTGGGGTCAGACCTAAATTTGTTGTCAGGTGGGATTGTTTAAAGTCTACGCTTAATAACCTGCTAATAGACCTTTCCTGATGGTCAAGTGGTTAGAATTCGATGCTGTCACCGCTGCGGCCTGGGTTCGATTCCTGATCAGGGAATGAGAGTTTATTTTTTGGCCCTCCTGTGGTGCATTGGTAGAGTACCTACCCGTGGACCGAGAGATCTGGATTCAAGTCCCGTTTGCTCCAGGGATATGTAACAACATCTCAGAACAGGTTGATTAGAAAATAGGCTTTTTAAAGAAAAATTGCTAATAACCTGGGGGAAGCAGGCACCTGATGTGTGACACACATGCACGTACATGTATGCACACTTGCACATGCACACCCACACACATTCTGAATTAAGTTTATCTAATCAGTGGGAGGATCGAGGAATATGGGGCAAAAGTCAGAAAGAGCTGCTGAGGATTATCAGATCACCATAATCTCATTGCAGGCTTGATGGGCTGACTGGCTGGCCTACTTCTGCTTCAAAGTCGTAGCTTATGAACTAATAAAATAAGTGATGACTTTGTCTTCTAAACGTATCCTGTTGCACTTATTTTCCTAACATAGGATTACATAAATTAGTCCTTCAGTGAAATAGGCCAATAGGCGTAAGTTGTCCACGTTGGTATTGATGTACCTTTCCTGTCCTCTCCACCAGCAGAACCTCTCTATTTCATTCTCCTTCATCCCCTTCCCAGGCTTCCCTTTCAATGCATCAGTAATGTTCACCTCAGCCATTCCTTGTGATAGTGAGTTCTGCATTCTTACCACTCTCTCTGGTAAAGACATGTTTGAATTTCTTGGAAACTCTCTTTATATTGATAAGTTTCGTTCCTGCATCAGGCAAGGTGAGGAGATAAGTAAGAGAACAAAATGGCCTGATTTGATTTGAGAAGTTAGCCTACAATGTTCCGAGACTGTCCAGCTTGGTTAACTGTGCTGTTCCATCTTTGTAACAATGATCCACTTCAGGAAAGATGGTGTCGGAGTAAAGGAAAGAAATGTGTTTTAATTGAGCCCGGTGCTGTCAATGTTAGTACAGCACACCTTTTCAATGCTTGGCAGAGGGCCAGCCTGAAAGGTTAGACCAGAGGATCTGACAGATCGAGTTCCATTGAAGTCTTGCACAATACACCTGAAGCTGGTAACACAGCGCATTTAATTTATCATGAATTAAAGGATTTTGTTCTGTGGCAGTGGCCTAGTTTCTTGGCCTTTGAGCAACAACTGTGAGAGGCTGTCTCGAGACCTCACAGGAGGATAAAGTGATTTCTGAGCTCTGATTTTTAAACTGCTGAAAATCGATGCCCCATTGACTGGCAGAGTGCAGTGGCAGTGGATTAAGAGCCTGTGGGAGTCGGAGGAGCGGGATGGCAGAGTTGGAGGGGGTGGGTGGTGGTGGGGAGCGCGGCGGGGTTGGAAACGACACAATCTGACAGGCGGTTTAAGCCGTCAGGATCAGTCTTGCACAGGCAGATGGAACAATGCCCTCCAGCCAAACCATAAAATATTTAACTCCCATCTGAGTCACTTTGCCAGACCTCGGCAGAAAAGCCATTGTGATAACACTTTACAGCTCCATTTTACTTGAAGGGTTTGCACTGCAGTGAGTCTTGCATTGATGTTGCTGCATGACTTAAGTCGTGTATTCACTCTGGATTTGTAGAGTTAACTACTTGCTGCCTGCCACAGGTGAAATGAATTGCAAATATTTTGGCTGTAAGTGGGACCTGTGGCCATTCGGGATCTCTCTGCTACAATAAGAGTTTCCTTTTCCCAGCAAAGCGGATGACGGCAGTCAGCTCAATGAACAGGCACCTAGTTCAATTGCTGTGCGTGCTATTGAAAGGAAACTTGATTCTTGTACTTGGGAGCTGCTCTGTTTTTGAAATACAAGCAGTGCAACCCAGTGGGCTCCCAGCCACGTGCTGTGTTAAAGAGAAGGGTGACCACACATTTGACCCATCTGTAATTCTGAAGTCTGTTGTTAAGGGCTGTGGTTACCGATGGAAACACATTAGCAACCTACTCATTTTAAAGGTGCTGAATGTGCATAGAACTGCTTTGTAAAGGAGTGGGCTGGCAGCTTTTAAATTGACGCTATCTCCTGAGGCGCCCTGTATTCAGGAGTCATGGGTTTGGAGGATGACATCGGAGGAGCCTTGGTGAGTTATTGCGTCGTGTAGATGGTACGCACTGCTGCTACTCTGCGGTGGTGGTGGAGGGAGTGAATGTTCAAAGTCATGAACATACCAGTTGGTCAAGCTGCTTAGTCATGGATACAATTGGTAGCGTGGCACCCTGGTTAGCACTGCTGCCTCACAGCGCCAGGAATCTGGGTTCGATTCTAGCCTTGGGTGACTGTCTGTCTGTGTGGAGGTTGCACATTCTCCCCTTGGATTAGATGGATTAGCCATGGTAAAAACGAGGTTACGGGGACAGGGTAAGGGGTGAGGTCTGGGTGAGCTGCTCTTCAGAGGTCCATGCAGATGGGCTGAATGGTCTCTTTCTGCACTGTAAGGGTTCTGTGAGCTTCTCGAAAGTTGTTGGAACAGCACCTACCCAGGTGAGTTAGAATATTCTGTAGCACTGCTGACCTGGACTTTGTCAATGGTGGGCAGGCTTTGGTGCTGTGATGTTACAGAAGCTGCTGGTTAGTTGATGCCATTTGGCAATCTGATTAGGCATTAAAAGTTCCAAAGCACTAATGAAAGAGAAACAGGAGATTTTCACATGCCTGGCCCCCAGATACATTCTTCATGCAACTGGTTAAGGAATTGATGGGCTAAATGGCTGACTTCTATGTCCTAAAGATTCCATGACATTACAAACAATAGATGAACCAGTCAATTAGATTGGGTACAGTTTGTGATTGCTTTCTAGTGAGTCTTAGCAGGCAACTTTATGTGCTGTACATTGGGCTAGATCAGAAGTCAGTCTCTATTGTGCTGCCTTTCATAGTCAAAACATGTAATGCTGAGCTATATTTTACTGACTAGTTGCAGTTGGACTGGAAACCTAGCCTTGATGCCTGATGTTTTAATCTGAAAACATTTTCAGGTAAGGGAAGGCTGCCAGTATTTGTGGTAAAAGGGCTTAATGTCCTTAGGAGTTGGGATATCCTTTGACTGGTGATTGAGGAAGGAATTAGATGAAAAGATAGAGGGAAGAAAATTACAAATTTGCAGGAGCAAGTGTTTGGGGGTAGGGTGTAACTGATTGAACAACCTTTTTCGAAGAGATGATATGGGCTTCAAGGGCCTTCTTTGTTGGAAGTATTTGATCAGAAGGGGCAGCAAAATATTCACTTTCTGTTAGATACGTTCCACCAGCAAGATTTGAAACATTACCGAAATGTGCATGTTTCACTACTGGCCGTGGGTTGAGGTGTTGAAGAAAGATTTGACTTGAAATTCTTTGCTTGCGTGAATAGCAGCCGAAAATATGTGCCCGTTATTTTTAATTCCTCCCCTTGCAACACCCACCTCCCCTTCATTTTGTCTCGTGCAGAGCTCCGTACATTCATCCAATGGAGACAAACCGAGGAACTCCACTGAATACCCCAACCATCTGAAGAAGAAGAAGACAGAGGAACGAGATTCATTGAACGATTATGTAAGTCTGCTGCTTCCTATTTTGGGTTTTTCTCCAACATTACTGATTTCCTCACCTCCCAAACTAGCTGAGGATTTTAAATTTTTTGGTCTTGCTTCATTCAAGATATCACATGGTTTTCTCTGGGATGCAAGGGTGTGTCGTGTCTGTTATCAATCCCATGGATACCAAAAAAATTCAAAGAACCAAATTTTTACCAATGGACTCCCAATAACGAGATCCATGGACAAGATTTCATTCTTTTCTAACTTTTTGCTCTAGTTTATATTGATTTTGGTTTGATTGTTCAATGTAACTGAATGAAATTGTGGTCAATACAAACAATGAAATACACTTAGTCGTAGAGATGTACAGCACAGAAACAGGCCCTTTAGTCCAATTCGTCCACGCTGACCAGATATCCTAAATTAATCTAGTCCCATTCGTCAGCATTTTGGCCCATATCCCTCTAAACCATTCCTTTTCATGTACCCATCCAAGTGCCTTTTTAAATGTTGTAATTGTACCAGCCTCCGCCACTTCCTCTGGCAGCTCATTCCATACACACACCACCCTCTGCGTGAAAACGTTGCCCTCTTTGTTCTTTTAAATCTTTTCACTCTCATCTTAAGCCCATGCCCTCTCGGTTTTGATTCCCCCACCCCGGGGGAAAAGACCTTGTGTATTTACCTATCCATGCCCCTTATGATTTTATAAACCTTTATAAGGTCACCCTTCAGCCTCCGACCCTCCAGGGAGAATAGCCCCAGCTGATTCAGCCTCTCCCTATAGCTCAAACGCTCCAACCCTGGCAACATCATTGTAAATCTTTTCTGAACCCTTTCAAGTTTCACAACATCCTTCCTATAGCAGGGAAACCAGAATTGCACACAATTCTCCAAAAGTTAAATAGCAGATAGATCTCCCTGATTTACCGGCAGTCCACAAATTGCACTAATTTCAGGCACATTAATCCTTCAAAATTCCTCAAATAGAATTCCAGTTCCTTCTCTTCAAGGATTTAACCATGACTTCTCTGATTAACAGCAGCACCCTTCCAACTCCAGTTCCATAGGCTCAATCTTCGTTAAAACGGTGAACTGCTGTAGGACCTTCTCAGCTCAGCTCATGATGGTTTTACGGCTGGGAATCCACCAGAAACACCTTTTTTATATGAACCCTCACCAATAACAATGCACTGCGTGGCTGGTGTTGGTCAATCCACTCGTTTTGAAATAACTGAAGTAACCTTATTTTCCTTTACCTTAGTTTCTAGATCCAGCCTTTGTATTCCTTCAGCCTGCCTTGCTGTGCACCACTGGTTCATCCTAACTTTGGTGGTTATGTCTTTTTGTCTGACTTGAACAAGCATCCATTTTCCCTAGGAACCTGAAGATTCAGTTTCCCAATTAGTTCAGGTTCGACCCCGAAAAAATTCAGGCTTTGAAGCCACAAATTCCAACACAAATCTGATACACAAAACTTTCGTGGAAGAATGATCCAGGCCGCTTGGAGACTGTTCCCTGACCATAATTGTTCTTGTGATCACCACTAACCACTTCCACACGCACGCAATTCAGAAGATGCTTTCATGTCCTATTTAAGTTTATCAGGTCAGCTCACTGCCTTCTCCATCAGAAAAACATAACTAAGACATAAAAGAACCGGGTTAAAAGACTGTACAGACTCTTAAAGCTGCTCCACCATTCCATAGAGTCATGACTGAACTTCTGTAGAAACCCTTGCCTGTACGTTCCCCAGGTCCCTCGATTCCCTAAGAGATCAGTAATCTGCCTACCCTGGTATAGAATGTACTCGATGATGAAGAACCTATGGAAGTATACCTGCTGTCCTCACCACTCGCTCCAGGATCATTTGTGTTCTAAAGCAGTGTGCGTGTGTGAATGCTCCCTTTCCATGTATCTCTTTTTTTTTCCCTTCCTCACCTCCATCACTCTTTTGTGCTCCCTGCCCCCACTCCAACACCTCTTGCTGTCTGCTGTCTTCCCCTCCTAGCCCCGTGCTTCCTGACCCATTCCCCCACCTCATCTGCTTCCTCCCCCACCTCCCCTGTACTGTGCTCCCTGCCCCCATTTTCCCCCTCTTGCTTCCACTCCATGACCCCCTTGCGTTCCCTGTCTCCCTACCCCCTCTCTTTAGCTCCCCGCCTAAGCACCCTGTTCCCCTCCTCTCCCTCTTGCATTCCCTGCCCCTCCTTGTGCTCCCTGTTTCGGGCTGTCTCTCAATCTGTTTCATGCCCATTCTGCCCTTCGCCCTTCCATCATCATATAAAACTAAGTAGATCAATGCCACTCAATAAAGTTCATGTAATCAAAAGGATTATCGTGCTCTCATTATCGTAACTAAGCTTTGTTTGATCTATTGAGGTGCTCTTCCCCCCAACTCTTTCCCCCCCCCCACCCCCGAAAATCAAATCCAGTGGTCAATTTACATTCCATGCAAACACTGTCAGAAGGATCTCAACCATTCCTTGCGGCTGAACAGCTTTAGTAGATAAACAAACATTGCATTAACATTTTTATTGTCACATTTTAATAAGGTGATAGATTACGATAAGCATGATTTACGAAATAGATCAGAAACCACTGTTGCTGTACACCCTTTCTCTTTTCCTGCTGAACTGATTTGATGCAGGAACATGACTTGGTGATTGGATCAATTGAAAATGATTTCATTTGTGACATCAGGTAGCCCATAAAACACCAGGTTTTCTTGTTGCTTGATGATGTACTTGACATGGTCTATTCACTGTCTTGTTTTAATGTTTTGAAACATCTGGACAAAATAAGAAGACCTCCTCAAAGGAACGGACTTAGATGGACGTTTGATCGTGTGTGAAATTTGCTCTGCTCTGATTTGACATGGTCCCTTTTTGTTTTGCTGCCATTGACCCTTGCCCTTGTCTCTCTGACTTTCACTTCTCTTTTCTACGATGTGCTTGAACCCCGTGACTAGGAAGTAGCTGTTGTGCCTGTCATCTCATTGATCTTTTCTGGCCCTCTCTTCCTTTTCCGTGTTGTCCCATCCAGCTGAATGGTCAAGTTGTTTGCAATTTGTACTTTGTCCATTGTTTACCCAATTCTTTGTTTTGTTAAAGAGAAAGCTTTCTTCAAAGGAAACCACTTAATTTATGACACGCAAATTGCATTTTGAGCCATCCTTTGATGTCCAACTTCTCTGCTATTGATCAGTCTGGTGACCTCGGCGTAGAATGTGTTTATTTATGTGCTATCTATAATTAGAATATAGGCAACAACCACCTGGATGAGAGTTTGGATGCAGTGTGGAATAGTACCTAGAATCCTATACTTTCACAGCACTGGATCACTGAAGTGTTATAGTACAAAAGGAGGCTATTTGGCCCATCCTGTCTGCACTAGCTCACCAGATGACCAATGTGACTTAATACAATACTCCTGCGTTTTGCCCATACCCTTGCACGTTGTTTCCAGTTACATATTTACCCAACGCCCTCTCGAATGCCTGAATTGAACTGGTTGAACCTGAAAGAGCTGTGTAAGTTAGAGCTCTTTCTGACCAATTTGCCAGTTCCATTTCTGAATGAGTCTGAGCTTTGTGAGTATGGGAGCAGAATGTCTCCTCAATGTTGCCTCAGTTGTGTCGCAGAAAGGTGACTTCTTCACGTGTCTGCTTTTACAGACTACTCGAGTTTGGAGAAGGGAGCGTGAGAAACCTGCAACTGAGGTTAGAGTAAAAGTTTAAAAAGTAAATAGTGTATTTACTTGCAGCGATCTAATTGTGCTGCTCATGAATACAAGCTCTGCTGTGTGGTTATCCGGCTGCAGATAAATAGTTCTGCACTGCCATCTTGTGAGTAAAGTGTGCTATAAACGCCTCTGAAAAACACATCACAATGCCATGAAATATAGTGCTCCTTTCTACTAGTGCTTTTCTAGTTCCGTATCGAATCAGAGAATGGGTACAGCACAGCAGGAGAGAATTCAGCCTGTTACATCTGTGCTAGCTGTCTGTAAGACCAGCCTGACTCGTCTTGTGCCCTCTCCTATTCCCCGAAACTGGCAAAGTTTTCTCTTCTGATAATTATCGAATTCCTTTTTGAAAGCTGCGGTTGGGAATCTGCCTCTACCACACTCTCTCTGGCAGTCTCATTTCAGATCCTAATCGCTCACTATGTGGAAGGGATGGACCTTTGATTTTATTGCCAATCCTCTTTACATCAGCTTCGCCTGGTCCTTGACATTTTTTTGCTAAGTGGACCAATCCTATCTACTGGTAACCCTACTATGTTCAGACACTTCATGAATTTGAGTATCCTCTCAACCTTCTTTCCTCAGAAGAAAATGGCCCCAGCCTCCTATTCTATCCCATGTAACTGAAGCTTCTCATCCTGGTACCTTCTTAAATTTTTCTGTACTTTCACTAATACCTTCACATCCTTCGTAAAGTTTTGAGCCTGGAGTTGTGGGCAGTTCTCCAAATGAGGTTAAACTAATGTTTTATAAAGTTCTTCATAAGTTTTGTACATTATATAAACATTCTTCTGTGAAATATTTGCTTTAGTGTTTCACTTTGCAATGCAGTTTTTATTTGCAAATTCTCTCTTTAATTTGATACTGATGCAAGTTCAGACCTCCACTTAATATACTTTAATGCAGCTGGTTAACTGAATATCTGGTCAGCTCGCAGGTAAGTGCTGTAGTATCCCTGTTTTAACAGATGGGCCATAGTAATTTTCGTTTAAATACATTTTTGTTGCTACTGCACCCAAGGAAGTTTGTGAGCCTTCTGAAAGTGAATATCTTTCCTGTGTTTCATTTCATGTCCCTAAACCTCTCTGTCACTCTATCCCTCTCCTCCTTTGACACTTACTTATCTCTTTGACCAAACCTGTACTCCTGCCCTGATCTTTTGTTCTTTGCTGTCAAATTTTTGCCCTTATGAAGTATTTTGGCAAGATTTCTACAGAAATTGAGGGTGAAACGCAGCAGGTCTGGCAGCATCTGTGGGGGGAAAACAAA